TATTTACCAAAGTTAGGATAACTTATGGTCGATGCTTGTATACACGCCATAGGACGCTTGTGTGCTGTTGTTTTTCGAAAATGATCTTCCGTTTAGCATACAGAGTAACAGCAACACTAAAGCTGAGGTAAATTTGGTCAAAAACAGACCTGCAGATGCCTGTAAAGCCAAATGGGATGTATTTTCCTGCAGCGATACTGCACAGCTACATACATCTGCCACCACCGCCGCCATCTTGTATCAATGTTTTTAAAACATGCTTTTGCTTCTATCTGTAAAACCCATTKAACTCCAAAAAGCTATTGTGCAACTTGGACACAGTATCATTTGCACATTATTCACATTTGTAAGCTGACAGGATTGWATGTGAAGTCCACTCATGCAGAAAAGACCGAAAAGCATTTCACACATTTTTTTTGTTAATGTAATATGTCATTCAATGTGACAAACGCAGGTAAACAGTTTTGATCTRGTGGCTGAATTTCATACTACTCATGCTTAAACAATCCTGTCTGAGTCTATGTAATGTTGCACATCATTAGGTTTAAGTAAGGTCAACTGTGGAGGATGGCAAAATATATTTTGGAGGAGAAAAACGCAGTCAGCAAAGTTTAAAAATGTAAACAGTCTTTTTCTCAGCAATACAAAGAAAAAAGAAAGATAAAAACTCCAAGAGGTAATGACAAAACTAGTCTCTGTGCAGACAAAAAAAAGTTAAAGTTAAAACTAATAATCAACAATACTAAATGCAAACAAGTACTGGATGATAAAGCTAATATACTGCATATTAAATCACAAAATAAAACACCATAAAATACAACCTATAAATAATTACCCACTCATCCAACCTCCCACCAGACATATGCATTAATGCAAACCCACCCACTCCTCATTCCCCTTGCTGTCTCGATAAAAACCTTTATACAACGAGGTTCTTCAAATTCAAAAATTGCGTCACTGAAAAAAAAAAGACAAATACACATTTTCAAAGCATCAGAAATGTTATTGGTTTTCTTGATGGCCTTAAATAAAAAGCAGAATGCACATTAGCCTGGCCTTTTTTTCATGTTTCCTTTAAATGCCTCCGTTGCCACTGCAGCTTTGATCTTTAGTGCTTCATAATGCTGAAAATGCATTCTTGTGAACTTCTTTACTGAAATAGCTGACAAATTAAGAGTTCTAGCTCAACATGTTTTGCACTGACCACAGGAATATTAGTGGAGTATCTTTTATTGAACACATTCTAATCATTCATTCATTCCAGTAAATTAATGCATCATTATAAAAAAAAAAAAGCTTATGGAATTTTCTTTAAATCAGTGTTTTAAATTTTTATCTTAGTCCAAAAGAAACAAAAATGTTGTAAAAATCTGCAACTCTAACTTATTGTTAGKTGTCCAAATTAATAACCTGGTTTAACAAAGATTACAATGAGAAAATTAATTTAATTATTTTATCTATGTTTTTAATGGAAGTGTTACAATGACCATAATGAAATATTTTGAAACCAATGATATTGCTGAATTAGACCACTGTTGCCTTGAAGGTTCTTTTGGGTTCAGACCTTTCTTTGGGTACTCTCCAGTTTTGTCCCACAGTCCAAAAACATGCATGTTTAGTTGAAGGAGACATATGCTTTTAAATCCTTCTTTTTTATATTTATATCATTTATTTAGGGTCTACATGAAGTGGAAATGCAATTCTTTGAGTCTCCTTGTTGTAACTCCACAAGCCATCCCTTTTCTGAAGTGTGTCTCAGATCAACTCGTCAGGCTGTCTCGCTTCACCCCCTGCCTCCCTCCAGCATCCAGACCAGTCCATTCTAGTTTGATAGCAGAGATACGATTATCTAATGGCACATATATTTTTTATTACAAATTAATTAAAATATGTCAAAGACAGAATACTTGTCCATCCAGCCTTACAGGTTAGAGCCAGAGTGAGAGGAAAATGAAGATAACAAATTTGGTCAGTTGGCGAATCCATACCTTATTTAGAAGTCGTTAATTCTGTG